TTAAAGATTAAGTGAGGCACTGTGCTGTTGTAAGTGGAAGCCCTAGCTTATATTAACTTATGTGTCTACATATGTATGTATGTATGTATGTCATAGCTGGGAAATAAATATACATCAATAATAAATATGTAATGCTAATACTGACAACTTAAGGCAATTAAATATAAATTAATAAAATGGCAAAAAACGTGAGAATACATATCAACGAATGGGACTGCAGAAAATTGGTAGAGCATGTGTATAATTCACATAAAAATTATATACAAGTAAATCGTAGTAGATCCATTATTCACCACTTGTCAGCCGAAGCCGAATTAGCCGTGTACGTATGTCTGTCTGTGCGTGAACTATTCCCTTAATTTTTGAGAAATCGATCTGAAATTTTGCGCACGTGCTTTTTGTCCAAAGAATGTGCTTAACATATTTGTTGGAACCGCCGATGTCGGACACTGTAGTAGCCTTATAAAGTGAACGATCGGAAAAAAGTCCTTGTATGAACTTTTTAATTTGACAATTTTGATTTGAGCATATTTCACAGTTATAACTATATAGAGACGCTTGTTTTCACCACAATCTCTTGCACACAAATAATATGCGATTCTCTGAAGTATTTTGAAAATTTAAATATTCCGCAATAAATCTTAGTAGTAATAAAATATTTATAGAACAATGTTAACAGCTAGTTAAGGTTTTTTGTTTATTGTAATCAGAAGAGTTCATTTTTCACGTTTATGCGGCGTCATAAATTGCCTTACCTAGCCATATCAATTTATATATTAAAATTACCACCAACATGGACACTTATAAATACATTTTATGTGTGTATGTGTAGACTATGTCAAATATGGCACGATTTCAACATTAATCTTGAGCGGCTTTAACAGCAAAGTATATATGTATGTATGTATACAGGTGTAGTTCGCGCTTACAGTTATCTGCAAAATCCATTTATTATACTACGATTGCCAAGCTAAAGGCCGACACCTGTAGTGTCTGTCATTATTTATATATATGCATGAAGCAACGTTGCATACGTCGGTCTTCATGTTGGTCGGTTGTGTGTTGTCGTGTTATTATAAAAAATTACTTTCACAATTTTCGCTCAACTTCTACTGCAGCTGTACGCGCCTTACATACAGCTCGGAATGGTAGGGCGTGACCTGTACAACGGTGCAAAAGTAGATTTCTATATTGATAATCTACAGCTGAGTCGCTGTCATGTTTATGACCCACTCAGCTGGGACCAGCAAATAATTTTGCAACTGAAAGTGAGTGTGTCTGCATGTATATTCGCATGTTTTTCTGTGACCCAAGTGTATAACAATAATATCGGCAGCTACCGTTCGGCCCAGTGTCTCGCCCGTCTGTAACTTAATTAAAACGACAAAGCTTTTTGCAGTTGGCAATGCCAACGCTGGTGGAGATACGAAACTACTTTGACATATATGTACATATACAGATAGGGTGTTGCAATAGGTGCGTAGCAGGCAGAATAGGTACTGCCAAAAGTGTGCTATCTGAATAGGATATTCGTTTGCATGACAACTTGGTTCACGTGCACAAAACGAACTATACTGTCATCACCAATGAAGGCTAACAGCAAAAACTGACACCAACGTTCTGACGTTTTGTCATGCTCCAGCTAAATAATTTGTTTTTTTGTAACCCCTAAAGATCTATATATACTAGGCGCTCCAGGTTAAGAACCAGAAATAACACTGCTTAATTATCGGCTGGACTATGAAGACCAAATCAGGCATCTAAAACGAAATTTTCGATAAGAAGCTTAAAGCAAAAGCTGTCATTAATCGCTATGTTGGTCTGCAGCCACATTTACGTGTGAATCAAGAATCTTATATGCTTCTAATTTCTTAGTTACAAATCCATATTTCACTGGTCTCATTGAGAAAATAATGAAAAGGGTAATTATTTACCTTATCTTCAAAGACAAACGCTCAGATGTATATACATAGATATATATTTTTGAAAATAATTTCGAAAAACGACATTTTTGGGGCAGCTACAAATTTGACCAAAATTCAGATTTCGATTAGTCTTTCCATCATTCCCTGTATACATCTATAGTTATATTTAATTTTTTTTTTTGGTTTTTGGATTTGCAATATATTTAAAAGAAATTTCTTTCTCACCATCAGTTATATTTTTTCGGCGAGATCTTAGTTTTCTATACTCCATTTAAGCATCAACCCATTCGCATTGTAACACCCTTTATATGCTTAGTGCAACCATGTACAATGCAAAATGTTTACATTGTACAGTTACACAACTGTTGCGCATGGTATGCGTGCGTGCCACAAGTGCACTTGCTGCCTTGTGCTGTGTGAGGTTACGTATACGCCATGACACACGAACAACATGAATTTAGTATCAGCTATTCTGTATACCATTCATCTTACTCAGCGCTATTGCACGTTTTATGTTCTATTTTTATTTATTCCTTTTGTCGTTCTTCGTCCACATTGCATATCATCCTGCAGTTGCTTGTTAAAGGCGCCTAAATAGGAAATGCACTCATGCAAGCAAATTATAAGCCATTGTTATACTTTCCCTCATCGCCCTTCACCCGCCTTACATCCAGCGCGTGTTGGTATAAATATGTTTGTGGGTGTGCTCATAGCTGGCTAGTTCATTTTACATGCGCAATTCATTTATTATTATTCCATTTTTTTACTTTCTTCTTCCGTGCATTAAAGGATAACGTTCTGCATTTAATGGCATTTGAATAACTGTGAAGGTGTTCGCCATCGACTGTTTTATTCAGTACTTTGGTCTTACTGATTTATTACCCTCCTGCTGGCGTGAGTGTACTTAAGGGAATTACGTTTAAAATAAATAGTGTGCGTAACACTAAGGCGCAACCTAAAAAGTATTTGATGCGAGGTTGTTGGTTCAAGTAAGCGATGTTAGTTGAGAGAATGTACAATTGTAGGAAAATTTACAAAAGTTGTTAACTCTAGAACTTATACCAGTAGGATTATCACCATTTACTTGTAGAGAACATGCATGATCAAACGATGAGTCCAAGGCAATATGGTTTCGAATCGTTCAAAGGAATGCGTAAATCTAATTATTAGAAAATGTTTACGTATGAAGACAGTTTGCAAGACGCGCTTTTTGCCACCAAGATAACGCTGCGAGTGCTTGAACTTGTGACACAATAATTTCGACAGATAATTTTTTTTTCTAAGCTCAAAAAAGACACACATATTGAGAAGGTCAAAATGATGACAAACACCTACTTTGAAGATCTCGAAGCATCATACTATCGAACAGTATTAGACCATATTATTATTCAAAAAAGTTTAAATTGCGCTGCATCATTTTTATTCGCAAAGATCGTTAAATCACAGTTTAAAATATCACATTACAATTCATTAATGATATACATATATAAGGTTCTACATGTATGTCATGCATAGATAGGAACAATATTCATCGCAGAGTTTATTCCTAAGAAAATATCTTAAACGTTAATAACGGCAGCAAACGATTTTCAAAATTCAGATTGATACCTCAAAACCTAAGTAGCTAGTTCGCGCATGTTGAAACGGACGAACAGACAGACGAACATGGCTAATTCGACTCAGCTCGTCACGCTTATCAATTATATATATATATTACGTTTGTGTCTATTGCAAAAGTCTTGTATATTGCTAAAGTTGAAGATTTTTGTTTGTTATTTATCATAAGATCGCCGCAGGCTCACCTAAAAAGCCTGTAACTTCAATTGGGAGACTTTTATATGAACGAAATAAGTGAGTCCTCGAGCCGATGGAATAAAAGCTGTTCTGATGAAGCCGTTAATTATTATTGGTGAAATAAACCATCACAAATTATTGCAAACAAATTTCGAAAGTGAACTGTTCTTCTTGTATGTATTAGTGATGATTTCGCCAAATGACTTGCAGGGTGCGATTGAAAAGCTCCTATCTCTAATATAATAATTTTACCTTCAGAGAATATGCTAAACTAAAAGTGTTATCCAAAAACACGTAAGTTAGTGCCTTCTTTTGTTTACTGCGTTCAGACAGCAGCATTATTCGATAATCACCAAATCATTCGCTATAGGCAGGAACAGTTGGTAATCACTTGATGTTATATACAAACAATTAGATGGATGCATAAGAATATCCCAAGCTCAAAAATCTTTTGGCAAGTCACTATCGATATGTGTGGTCTGGCGTTGTCCTGAGAAAACACGATTCCACGCCTATTGACCAAAGCTGGCCACTTCTGGGCGATTTCTTACTTTATACCGACCAATTTTTGATAGCACTTTGGCCGTAGAAGAGCAGCTCATAGTAGATGATTTCTAACCATCAATCATGGCTAGACCGCGATTCACAAATGTAAATTCGGTTTATGAGGTTTTTTGCGTTAACTCGTGTGGCACCCTTACATCGCGCTTAATTTATAGCCAGCCTTATGTTAATAGTACCAAACGGGTTCTTATGCCATGTTGAGCTCCTGGGTATTCGAAACAGTAACATGACGATTAGATTTACCAATTTTATCGATAACGGCTGACGTTTTCCGTTTTATCGCAGTAAAACTGTCAAAAAATTTCTCTTTGACGCGTGTTCAAAAGTGCTGAGTCAAGCAATAACAAAATTGTTTAAAAGAGTTTTTTGATTTTTTTTCGAGAGATATACAGCTTACTAAAGCCATCTATTAGAGAACTAATTGGTTTCTTTTTACTATACCCAATTTATAAAAATTTGAAAGTTGAATACAAACTCCATTAAACCTTTTTACACATACTAGACTCGCTGTACGTCTGCCTAAGCACCGCTTGGTATGGCATTTCTCATTCATCGTGCATCAGAAGCATTAGGACTTTGTGTGCATTTTATTCCAAAAGAATATTTCTGATTTTTTTTTTAATTTGGCTCCGTAGTATATCATGAAAAACTTTAAACAAGATAATTCTGTTTCCATTTTCCTCCTTCTTATACTATTACTTTTCCGTGCACTTTCAGAATATGTGGCGCTGCAGTGTGTGCCGACGAAAGATGGCCTCGCGTGTGTGCATCCCACAAGACTCAACCGACTCCATGTTGGACGTGCCCGTGCTGGAAGCGCTGCAACGACGTCACTCCGATGCCAAGCTCGGCTCAACACAGACATTGGCACCGGCAAATGGCACCGCGTTGGCACCGCCACGCAGCCCCGAATGTCGACGGCATTCCGACGTATCACCCGCCTCTCTTAAAGAACTCGAAAAGGTAAGCGATGTTCCAACAACATCAACAACTGTGTGTGTGTCTGCCGCTGTAGTGCTTGCGTCTTGTTACATTTAGTTGTTGCAATAATAAATGCTTAGTTTGCCTTCTTAGTTGGCTTTGCTTTGTTTGAGTTGAAAATTGTGTTGTGTTCGTTTATGTTTGTCAACTAAGTTTGTGTTTGCGTTTGGGTGAGTGTGCTAAAAGAGTGGGCGTGTAGACGTGCAAAACCAACTCACTTTCCGTACCTTCTGTACCTTTTTTGTACTTTTCGTACCGACCTAATTTATAATGTACATAATCACGTGATATCACGCAACCAAAAATAACTGTAAATTGCGATCGCTACACACTACCACCACCACTCTCGTATTATTCACACCCACCCACACGCAACCCACAACCTGAAAATGCAAAATGCAGTTGAAGGGCAATAAAACACCGGGCGGTGATTTGGACTTTCGTAAGGGTGGACGCAGCATGGCGCCGAGCCGTTCATCGAGCCCGCCACGGCAATCGGACTTGGAGCAACAGCTACCGTTCGGCGCGCCGCTGTCGCGTATGGCATCACGACGTGGATCACGTGTGGCGCGTCAGCACAGCTATGACGATGACATGAACAGTGCGAGTATGGCAACGGTGGCAGCGGTCGGTGCAGCCGGCGGTTTGGGAGCAGCGGCTGCTGGTGCACTGGGCATGATGGGCGGTGATCCCGGGCTCGGTATACCAGCAATGCCAAGAAGGTTAGTTTAAGCAAGCAATTCTGTGCCACAATTTTGAATTAAATGCCACTTTCTTCTTGTACGCTTCATTCACTAGAAAATCTGCTTATGACGTCTTTGCGCCAAATCTGCTACAGAGTGCGGCACCTGCAACAACGCAACTTCAACGATCACCCGGCGATGGTATGTCGCCACAAATTGCTCTACCTGGTTCGCGGAGACCCTCGTTCCGCGTGCCACATCCTTCTGAGGATCTGCAAAACGACGAATCACCGAGTCCGGACAAGGGCAGTCCAGTGCTTACGGTGGATGATGATAGACGCATACGTCGACGTGGATCACAACTGTAAGTACAAGCCGAGAAACTCTAAAAATATGACTGCTTGTAGGACTCTTTAAAAAGAAAGCTTTGCAACTATGAACTATTAAATAGTATTTTCAACTAAAGAAAGATATTATTTTCGTTATAAGAGTCTTAAAAGTGGCGGACATAAGAATATGTCGTTACCATAAGCTAACTGCAAGGTGAAGTGAATAAAAACGAAAAGCGAAAAGAAAAATAATAATATTATTGTATAATCTCTTAAAATCCGCCTGAGATGCATTTTAACGATAAAATTCGATTTTAGTCCCGATTTGGCGGCGTTGCAGCAACGTGGTGCATTACCAACCAATCTCCCCACCACTATACCGCCTCCAATAGCGGCTTTTACTGGTCCGAATTTGGAGGATCTCGAGGCGCCACGTCGTCAAACATCAATGGATGGTGAAGCTATTAAAATTGTCATACACGACGTCGACTCGGGACCGATTTGCTCATCGAAACGTAGAATTGTATTACGCAGAGACCCCACGGATAAGGCACATCGCAGTGAGTATTAAGCTTTTTTATTAAATCAAAAGAGATATTTTGCTGTAAAAAAGAATAATAAAATAATCAAAATTCAATCCAAATTTAATTTTAAGAAGTGAGGCAAGTAATGCATAGTAAATCTAAAAATATTAATTAGGTAATTTATTGATTTATTGTAAATAAGGATAACAGCTATTTTGCAACTTTCAATTTTCTCTCTTCCGTTTTTCTGCGCTTCTAATGCACCTTGTTTTTGAAAATTAAACTACTATCAGAACACTCATGTGTATATGTATCCAAAGCAGCATATTCATTAAGCGGCTTTGAAGAAACGCAAAATGCAAATAGTGACAGCTGAGTAGTAGAAAATTGAAATTCCTTCGATAACATTGCTATAACGTGATGCTGGCGAAACCAAAAGAAATGTTAATAAAGTGAAATGTGAGAAATTCAAACGAATGCTCGTTGTTCGCTATGGATTTCTGGTTGCTGACAACTCAGCCGGATGCCAGCAGCGCTCAATTGACCAGCCAGTTTTTTTTTTTTGTTTTTTGCTTTTTACTATGTCACATGTACATTTGTATAATTGCAAGTGCTGAGAGCAACTCATTGAACGTTTCGCCACCGATTGCTAGCCGATTGGTATTCACGGCCAAGCCCAGCCATTGCTCTGTTGCTGTTCGTGTCTGGATAAATCGAATTCTTACCATTAGCGCCTTGTTGTATTGGCGCTACGGTAGCGTGGCAGCTGGCAAATGCTTAACGGAGTGCAATAGAATGCATTTGACTGGAATGGTATGGAATGGAATGTGACAGTTTCAGTGTACAAACTGTTATTTCAAAGAAATTGTATAATCTTGATTAATTTAATGTGCATGGCAATGAACTTATCAAGCGGAAATTTAATGGACCATTTTGTTGTGATACGCTTTGCATTGGTGTTGGTTGAGGCGTATAGTAAAAAAATATATACTTATGGTGAATTACATTAGCTACGTAGAATAGAATATAAAACTCTACAAATCAGTAAACAGGGGTTTATGTAGTTAAAAAAAACAAAAAGCATTTTGAAATGTAATTTCTTTTTATAAAAAAATATTTCCCTTCAGAGAATTTTTTTGTAAAATAATCGTGCGAAAAAATTAAACATTCTTATACTTACATGTATTTATGTGTATTATAAGTCATAGGCGGAAATTTGAAACTCTTATATATTGTAATTCTTATTATTTATCTTGTATAAGGTATATGGGAACTCGAGCATGTTTTGTGCCAATCTAATCCAGTTTTCGTATTACGTCATATTAGTACCGGAAATGAAAGTTTTCTGAATTTCATTATGATTTCTTACATATTGACCGATAGATGCGGTACAAAGTCAACCAGAAGTTCAAAAATAGTTATATTATGTATATGGGGGATATGAAAGATATTGACCCGATTTTACCCTTTTTTTCACAAGCGCATGCTGACATTACAGTAATATTTTCTAAGAATTTCAATGCTAAAACTCACATATTGACCAATATGTTCGGTAAAAAATTAGCCATATTCACTGTGGTCCACATATTAGTTTGTCTGGGTCTTTGAAATGGTATAGTCTCATTTCGACATATTTTTATTTTATTTCAGTACATAATTTGTACAAAGTTTTATTCTGATAGCTTCATTGATGTTTAATTTTTATAATGTAATGAGAATCAGATGAAGTTTAAAAGTTTGGTTGGTTCTCATTCGCTTTCGCTCATCTTCACAGTGTATGATAGAAATCCTTGAGTAACTTTGCACACCAAATTGGGTTGTATTCGGTCAAGTAGTTCTCGAGACATAGAATTTCACTTAAATGTGGCTGCGCCACGCTCACTGTCCAATTTTTTATCCGCTTCTAAAACGCCTTTTACTTACATTTTTTCTGTGAAATGAAATGCTTGTGGCGGATTTATTCAGAGAGTTATCACACTTTTAGTAGTTTTCAACATAATAGTTATAAGGGGAGTGGACGGTATTACAATTTTCACATCGTATGAAGAAGTGCACATACTTAAGCGATTTGGAAGATATTTGCATGAAACCATTTACGGCGGGGCACGCCCACTTTAAAAAAATGTTTAGCCCACAAGTGTCCTTTGTTACTGTAATCCCTTGTATTAATTAACAGTTGTATATCTTAATTTAGTGCTTAGTTAAGTCACTTTATATATTTTTGCTTAACGGCACTTTGTGAGCATGGAAATAGGTAATACTAACCCACTTTGGATGATATGGCACTTGTATACGAAATTTATTCAAGATATTTTAATTTGGGCAGACTTTTCATTTAAAAGTCACTTAAGAATGGGCTGTCAAAAACATTTAATTCAATATAATTTTTTTTAATCAATACTTTGTCCTAACTGAGAGATCACGCCACAAACCAAAAATAGACATATATTCTTGACTTAGACTAATCAACTTTAACAAGAACTAAGAACAAGTCTCCCACCCATCGCCCGATTTGACGCCGAGAAATTTAACTCAAAAACGCCTGCTCTTTCAAATGTAGTTTACAAAGTGGAAACAAACTTCTGAAGATTTTGAAACTTCAAAATTAAGGAAAAGTTCTCTCATTGTTAGGAAAAATACTACAGAAATATTGTATTTCAAGAGAGACACTACTCAATGTCAGCCCCAGCTATTTTCTACTGAACTTAATTAATTTTCACGGAAAGCTCTACCTCTTTTAATAATTGCAGAACTATTCTGCATTTAAATGTTAAAGTAGCGTAAATTATCGGAAATGTATTCTGAAATGAGAATTGCCTTCAACTGATTACGAAAAGCATTTGCATCTGCCAACACAGCACTCGCAGCGCGTACATAATTATCCACAACCGCCGCAACGACACACATGGCGTATACGCAACCAGCGATGTTGCGCTGCATTCCCGCCTTTTCAACAACTCTTTATTCGCCACAATTGAAATTATTATTGTTAGTCTTATTACAACAAACGCAGCGTACTCATTTCGCTAATTTCTGTTATAACCCCTTTTCAGCATGTTTGTTGTTGCAAATGCGTCGAAAAGCACGACAGTGGGAACAGAAACTTTACTGATGCCGACAATATAAACTCAGCTTACATTATCATGCTACGCGGTGCGGGGAATTGGCGCGCACTTGACTAGCATTCGCTGGTAGTTGGTTGCTGCTTTTGTTGTTTCGATTGCACATTGGCAACAAAAACATAATGCGGCAGTGGCCGCAAGTAATGAGTTGAGCGTTGAGCTTCTGCCCAAAACTTAACGACTGCTCGAACTTGAGTTTTCAGCGGAGCTGAGTAGCTAGCGGATATATGCTAATCAATTCAGTAACTGCGCATAAAACCAAGAGGAAATTAAGTAGGGTGGAGAGTTTGTGAGTGGTGTGGGATTTTATTGTTTTTGCTGTCTAATTTTGATTTCTTGACAGTAATGAGATTTTCTACTTCAAATTATTAGCAAAAGCCACGCAGTGGTGGGGGGGAGATGATTGCAACTGACAATGGCTGATTCTTAGCATATTTCGATTGCTGAATATTTAATCGGTTTGGGTATGGAATTTAAATAATTTTAACTATTGAATTTCATCACAATTCTGAAACTCTGGGATCATATAAATGCTGCAAAGGAAGACTTTATGAAAGCTTTTTACTAAGAAAATGTTGCATGGTTAGCAGGGACTTGGTTATATTCCCATAATTTTGATGGAATTTATTGCAAACGTACAAAGATCGAAATAGACATATATAACTGAAGTGTTCTCAGAATGTCAGCAAACATTCACAACCTCAAACAGTTTACGATTGACTGGATTATCATTCTGGTAGTTAACCGGAGAGTACAATACGTTGCTGATTGATCCTCGGAGGATAACATTACCAAATGAGCCGTGGTGTTATGCTTACTTACAATATATTTAAATCCACTTGCCGATGCGGTCAAAACTATTATATTGCTGGTCATTATTTCTCAATACTTCGTTGCATATTAACTTATTGTACAATATATAGTAACATCTTTCGATAATTCTCTACTATTAAACCTAAATGATATCTTCGATAAGCCTTCTTTAATGATAACAGAGTACCAGCTATTTTTACCACATTTCCAGAGACGTAAGCCAAGAGTTTTTTATACCAAACCAAAAAACTCTTGGCTTAATGCCATAAGCAGATATTTCTTTGACATTGTAGGATATTTTTGCGAAATAAGTACATTCATTCTACTAGAATACGTGGAAAAGGAAACAAAATTAGAAAATCTCAAACCAACGAAATCAACTCTGAATTTCACTCACATCCAAAGTTTACTTCTAGTAGTTGCTTTGTTCTACAACTCAGGTATGTATGGTAGAATCTCCAAAAATGCGTAATGAAGATAATTAGGGTTCAGAAGCCAGTCAGTCAGTTCAGAAGCCAAAGACTATGAGCCTTATTCGTTACTTTGTGATTGAGAGTGCATTTTGGCGATCAGGGAAAAAACGAAATCATTTGGTATTTTCCAGTGGTCATCCATTTCACTACATATATTTAGTTATATTACTTTCTGTCGTCCAGCTCACATGAATACCAACTATTCAACAGTAAACTACAATCACACAATAGAGCTCCGTCTAGTTCCCATCCTACGGATAGTGAGAAAGAAAATTTCCAACCGAGCTAACTAGCTTTACAATATTCTGTAATTTAGCTGTGACCCGTCGTCACCCAAGTTGCGCGTTGGGAGTTTGCTTTGGTTAAGTAGGGTCGAGAGTCGAGTACGGTAATCGTTCGTTGTCTGTTGCGACAGATTGCAATATAATATAAATTATCTAAACCTTTGTACATATTTATTTCAATATTTAGTATTCCAAAAAAACTTTACTGAAAAGCAATTCTTTAATTTCCATAAACACAAACTTCTCTCACTTTCTCAATTGCAATGTAAGCATTTTTAATTTAAACACTCCAAGTTACCTGCGAATGAGAAAATATAACAAATAGTATTTAAAATATCTGCTTG